CCTCAGAGAACATGCTCATGGACCTTCTCTGTCACCTGTCTGAGGGGGTGTCTCCTCCTCTACCTGCAGGAGAAGCCACTGGGAGGCCCCTCCAAAGCCGCATGTGGGTCACCTGAAAAGTGATGCTCGGAGCCTCTGACACAGGGTCCAGGAAGCTCCCTCCCTTTCAAGGAAGGAATGGAAGGACTCACCGTCCCAGTACCGCAGGAAAGGCCGCCCAGGGCGGTGACCAGGCCCAAAGGCAGATGTCACAGGAAGGAAATCTTCATCCAATGTGACCCCACAGGCCTGAGGTCTAACAGATCATCTGCAGAAAGTGCTGAATGTGTGAGTTCGTGTCTCAGGGCAGTTGTGAGAAATCACCACGCATGTAGAAAGGTCAAGAATAACAGGAACCATTCTCTCAGAGTCCTGAGGCCACACTCGCCCTCATACCTCCTCTGAGGCTCCAGGGAGGGTCCTTCCTGCCTCTCCCAGCTTCTGCCTCAGTGGTCCTGGGCTGATGGCATTGCCATTCCAGCCTCTGCCCCTCATCCCACCGCCTCCTTCTCTCTGCACACACCTGCTTCTGTGTCTCTTCTTAGCAGGACACCAGCCACACTGGGTTCAGGGCCCGCCCTCCTCAGGAGGCCCACTCCTGACGAACCATCGCTCTCAGCAGAAGGTGACCGAGATTGTTGTTGCTCCATCACTCAGTTGTGTCCAACTATCTGTGATCCCATGGACTGCAGCCCGCCAGACTTGCCCCGTCCAAGACGTCCGCCCTCTAAGTGAAACAGTGCGGGCCCAGGGTCTGACCCCCACCTTCTAACTCCAGGCCCACCACTTGACAACTGCCTGACCGTGTCAGCTCTCTTCCTCTCCTCTAAACCTGCTTCCTCACCTTGAAATAGAGATGCCGCTCATCACACATAGGGAGCGGTGGGCACGGGGGAGTGCTCAGTCTATGCTGACCGACCATCCTCTCCAGGCGCAGCATGGGGAAGGGTTGCGTATGAAATGCCTGGGAGCCTGTGTCCTCACAAAGGTCACCCTGCATTTGCCATTAGTAACCACTTGGGAAAGCGAATTTGAGAATTCAGGCCTGGAAGGCTTATTCCAGGTACTTCCCATCTGCTCCTTCAAAGAGCTCACTGTCCACCACCCCCCACCCTCAGCTGGTCCCTTGTGGTACTCATCGCTGATGGGACCTGGAGGGCATTGCTGACCTGGGGGCACTGACTTCGCGTACACGGTGACAGATGTCTGTCACCAGTGAAATGGGGGGGGCAGTGTAAGAGGACATGGGCCCGGCCCCTCCTGCTTCCTCCAGACCCACCCTCCCTGCTGGCCAGAGCACAGCGGACACCACACCCGCCCCAGGGAAGAGGTTCATTTCCACACTGGACTCTGAGACACACCCTTCTCCATTCCCCACGAGGCAGGGGTCCTAGCGTCGGTCCAGGGAAATGCTAGTCGTTCCTTCCCATCAGCAAAAATGAAAGTCCTAGCACTTAGGAGGGCAGGAAACACACATAGCTACCTAAGTGAACATCAGTGCCGTGGGGACAGCCCTTCTCGTATCCAGGCAGCCACCATCAGCGGCTGCAATCACGTGGAGCTCCACAGTTTCTAAAATGTTTAGCAAGGACTTCCCAGGTGGTCCAGTGATTAAGATGGGCTTGATCCCTGGCCGAGGAACTAAGATGCTCCATGCCACAGGGAGCAGCCAAAATTAAAAAAAAAAAGAAAAGAAAAGGATACTTAGCAGACAGCATGCTCCCCCCCCCACCCCGGTTCTCACAGAGCCCTGTGACCCTAAATAAGCCACATTTTCACCCCTGACCTACAGATGGAAAATCTGAGGTCCGGAGCAACTGCCCAGGGAGGCTCCACTGAGTGTCAGAGCCCGGACTCAGATCCAGCCTGTAATCCAGGCTCGGCACCGCCAACTGGCCCAGGCCACCTAAGGAGCAGGGGGTTTGGTCTGAAGGTGACACAGCCCTTCTTCCTGCAGAAGCGACATTCCAGCATGCTGCACTCACAGGCTCCCACAGCTTCTCTTGTATCTCAGCATATATATTTGCACCTGAGGACCAGGGGGCAGTGTTGCCCAGTGGAGAGAGCTGGGGGCTTGAATCAAAAAAGACCCAGATGTGAGTCTGATCTCCTCAGGGCAGTGGGCCTGTGGGTTTGATCGTCGTTGTGGGGTGGGAGTAGTGACACCTGCCCAGCACTGTGGCGCAGGGCTAAGACTGTGGCCCAACGCTGTCCCTCTTGGGGGGCAGCCACCCTGTCACCCCATGAGAGACTGGCTTCAGATGAGAAAGAACTACATCCTCGGTTAGACAGAGGTTGGCCAGAGTTAAGCCAACTCTCCATTTGTAAGAAGCCTCAGGGCCTGATCGCTGATAAATCCAAGATGCCAGATGATGGGATCCTACCCAGCCTGACTCGTCTTCTCAGTCCGGAGGTCCCGCTTAGGATGAGACAGCGGAGCTGGGAGAGCCCAGATGGATCTCCGCCAGCCAGTCTGTCTTTCAGCAGCTGCTCTGTCGGCACAATTGAGTGTCACCAGACCCTGGGCTTGTCTTGGCTCCCGTGAAGCCATTATTGCTTTCGATACATGGAAAGTTCACTTGCAAGCCCAGCATTTTTTACAGCTTGTGATTTGCACCGGGAAGTGACTCAACTTCCTCCAGGACCAAGGCAGTCACAGCACTAGGTGACCACTCAATCTGCCAGGAGTGGGGCAGCAGCCAGCTCTACCACAACCACACACTCGTAAAACAAGCCCTCTCATCTGGCTCAGACACGGTCACACTACAGGGATTTGCAGACCCAAAGAGTGCTCATGCCATCCAAAAGGCCGACACGTGGGCTGAACACAGACCCACGCCAAAAGCCCCTGTGCATCCAGGGGGAAACCAATAAAGGTTTACATGAAAACCAGGGTTTTGCAGCATCCACCACTCCGTCGCCACTCTGAAAGCTAGAACAGAAATCAACACCTTCTCAATTCTTGTAAACAGTTTCCAACTGAGAATTCTATACCAAGCCAATCAATTAAGGACTTCTTCAGGAAAAAGAAATTAAAGGGCATTTAAAATGGATAGGTAATCTGGGGTTCATTTAGACAGTGGAACATTATTCAGCCATAAAAAGAAATGAGCTATCAAGCCATGAAATTCACAGAGGAACCTTAAATGCATTATTTCTAAGTGAAAGCAGGCAGTTAAAAACGCTACTGTGCTTGCAACCCTGTGACAGTCTGGACAAGGCAGAATAAGGAGGAATAAGGGAACAAAAAATGATAGGTGGTTGCCAGGGGTTAAAAGGGAGGGAGAGATGAACAGTATAGCACAGAGGATTTTTTTAGGGCAGGTGGTAGGTAGAACAAGCGGTTGAGACAGGTATCAGGTAGGGCAGGTAGTAAACAGAGGGTAATAGATCCAGCAGGTGGTAAGTAGGACAAGTAGCAGATAGAGCAGGTGACAGGACAGGTAGCTGATAGAGCAGGTAGAGGGTAAGAAAGACAGATTACAGGTAGAGCAGGTTATAGAAGGGCAGGTAGGTAGCAGACAAAGCAGGTAGCTGGTAGGGCAAGAAGCCCTGCCTATCTTTTTTTTTAAAATAGTTAACATTTATTTTATTTATCTATGGCTGCGCTGGGTCTTTGTTGTCGTACACAGTCTCTTCGTTGCTGCGTGTGAGCTTTCTCTAACTGCGGTGAACGGGGACTAGTCTTCATTGTGGTGCGCAGGCTTCTCATTGCGGTAACTTCACTTGTTACAGAGCATGCGCTCTAGGGTGTGTGGACTTCAGTAGTTGTGGCGCAGAGGCTTAGTTGCCCTGCGCCTAAGATATAGAATCTTAAGCCATGTCCCCCGAATTGGCAGGCGATCCTTAACCACTGGACCACCAGGGACATCCCCCACCTACTTTTTAAGATGGTAAGTGACTAACCCGTCACCCCTAACCTGGCAGTGATGAGGCCAGGAGGTAAAGTCTGCCCTCTGCCCTGGGACCCTGTAGCACCACCCTCTACTTGGCATAGGTTTCACTGCCCACCTCACTTTCACCCCCCACCACCTGTCTGTTCACTGACACCCTACTTTCTACAGCCCAACATTTTCCTTTGGACTCTGTTTACAGGAAGGAAATTCCACTTCTCACTTCCTGTGAGTTTCCTGGGTTGCAGCAGCCTTGGATTGGGCTTTGTTTTATTCCCGTCTGTACGTCCAGGATTTATCTCTTAACACAATACGCATGCCTGCTCAATGGATTAGCTGCTTCCCAGCACCAGGCTGCTGACGCGGCTCTAGTCTGGAAAGCCTCCCCCGACCCCTGGCAGCCCTGAAACCTCAGAGGTGAGTGTGTGCAAGTGAGACAGGCCTGACTCAGCCACATGGCAGGCACTCCCACGCTCAGTGGGTTCGATGGATGGCAGGACGGGGGGTCAGGGACGACCATGGGGCCTAGGTGAGCCAAGCCACTGTACCTGCCCTGAAAGTGTGTGAACTCACCCATGGCCACTGCTAGATGGGGGGCTCTGACCATGCCCACTTCCTCTCCCCCAACCGCCTTCCCATCTCAAGTAGCCAGTCGCGCATGTTTGGGTAAGTGCTCCTACCCAGAGGCTCCAGCCACCCGAGCCACTTCAAGGCCACCAACTCCGTGACACAGGAATCTGTCTGGATGTGCAGGGGTCCCAGAGCCAGGCTGGCCTTGCCCCAGTGGGGAACCTCTCTCTCTGGGCTCACCTTCTGCCTCCCTGGCAGAACCATGCCCAGGGTATCGCTACCCTTGGCCCTGGGAGAAGCAGAGTGGTCCTTGGAGATTGGCAGTCACTTTGGAGGCGGGACCCAGACAGGCACAAGTGGTGTGTGGAGGGCAGGAGGAGCTGTCTGCATGTAGAGACCTGGCTGGTTCCACCCCAGCGTCTGTGAGTGTCCAGCCTCACATCATCGACGGTCACTGCTCTGGCCTCGCTGACCTTTGGCAGAGGGCACGAGTCACACCGTGAGCACCAGCAGCCTCTCGCCGATCAGCACCGAGCCGTCCCTGAGAAGCACATCCTGAAATGCTGCTGTGCCTGAGCTGAAGTCAGGGGCTGTCTATAAGCAGACAGATGGGCGAATAAACCAGGAAAGCGTCAGGGAGAAATGAGAAGACAGTGAACACGTCTGTGCGGCTGGCAATGAACCAATGCCATTGCGAGTGACGAGGGGGAGGTCTCGTCCCCACAGCAAGGCTTTTCTGAGTCACAGCAACAACTACGTGGTCCCCAGGACAGTCTTGTCTCAGCGAGAGACCAGAGCTGCCCCGAGGGGCTGTCTGGCCTCACTCACACCCGTCACAGAGCCTGCCTGCTTCCCCCAGGCCCCGTTATACTCTAGACGTGACCGTCTGGAGGGCAGGGTGCTTGCTCAGCAGGACAGGAGTGGTGACCTGGGTCTCCGGCCTGGGTTGGTCTGGGTGAACTGACCCTTGGGTGCTCACTGTCTAAGCACTGCTAATCCCCAGGGCGCTCTGGAGGCCGAAACCCCAGGGCCTTCTGGGCCTGCAGCCCCCGTACAGGTACTGGGTGAGGGGGACTCCTAATGTGTTTCCCACGGGGTCCCCGAGCACCCGTCATCGGCCCGCACGCCTGACACCAGGAACAAGGGGGCAGAACACCCGTGAAGGGACCACAGTGCAACTACGTTCAAAATCCATTTGGGGGACTTCCCTGCTGTCCAGCAGCTAAGACTGCACTCCCAATGCAGGGGGCCCAGGTTCCATTCCTGGTCAGGGAACTAAACCCCTCAGGCCCCAACCGGGAGCCCAATGCCGCAACTTAAGATTCCACACGCCGCAAGTAAGACCTGGAGCAGCCAAGTAAATTAATTTTTAACATTTCTTTAAATTCTTTTTGCTGAAAATTTGTTCTTAAATGTTTGCAAGTGAACAGGGCAGAGGTCTCCTAAGAACACGGTGTGTGTGAAAACAAAATCAGGAGAACTTGATTAGGAAGAGGAATTCTTGAGCGGAGGGAGGTGGAGGGGGCCTGGGATGGAGCCCAGGGTGGGGGCAGAGGGGCCTGAAGCTCTGGGGATAGGAGGCGGGGTGCTGAGGGATGAGAGGGGAGGAGGCCAGGCCTGGGGAAGGCGGGGTGTGCAGGCCTTGTCTGGCACTAACCCACCTGTCTCAGGGCCCCTCGGAGGCCACATCTGGAGTTAGAAAGCCTCGAGTGTTTTCCACCCCTGCATTTCTCTCCCCCAGAGGGGGACTGAGAAAGCGTCTCCCCACTCACACTCCAGCTGAGGGGTCAGGTTGGGTTGAGAGTTGGTGGGAACAAGGGACACTGTGTCTTCTATGCTGTTCCTGGGCTGCAATGCTTCTGCCAATACAATCAACAGATTTAGGAAAACACACACCCACCTGGAAGTCTGCGTTTTGCAGCCTGAGGTCCCCAGGCTCCATTCCCAAAGCCAGACCCTGCTCTCGGATGTAGCCCATGCAGTGGGGCACCGCTTCAAGGGGGGCCCCCACAGAGAGCAGACACCCAGTGGTTCATTCTCGGGCTTGCTTTGCAGCATCATGTGTTTCCCTGGTGTCAGGACTGAGCACCTTGATCAGCAGGAAAACTTCTGCAGCAACAGCTGGGCTGGGTGAGGTCATGTCTTCTTTCCAGAGACGTGAGGTGCTGGGCCCGAGCCCCCCTCCTGTGCTCTGGGACCTTTCTCCGGGCCCAGCGGCCACTCAGAGTCCCTGCTGGTGCTGCCCAGATGCCATCAGGCAGTCAGCTCTGCCCGACATGGCATCTTCACCACAGGAACATCCGCAAGCAGGTGGAGCAGGCTATCGAGATGGGACACAGCTGTCTCGCTGGAGCAGCCTGTCCCAGGACTGAGAGGTGGATTCAAGATTTGGACTTTCTGCTAGTTCCCACCTGGTTCCTGCCTTCACGGACCACTCCCCTCTCAATTCCTAACCCAAATCTCTCTCCCCAGCTACCAATTTGGTTTTTAACAAGTGGTTTTAACTTGGTTCATAACAAATTTTTGAAATTTCATCAGTAAAACCTAATGAGCCAGAGCTTTTCCTAGTAGAAGATGTTTGCTTATAGATGCAATCATCTTACTATGAATAGGTCTATTCAAATGCTCTGTGTCTTGGATTCATGCCCGATAGGTTTGTGTTTCCAGGAATTTGTCCATCTCATCTAGATTATCCAATTGGTTGATGTACAAATGTTCATTAAACTCTCTTATAATCTCATATCTGTGGAATGGTATAATGTCCCCATATTAACTTCTGGTTTTATAATTGAAGTCTTTGCTTTTTCTTCTTAATCAATTCAGGTAAAGGTTTGTCGATTTTGTTGATCTTTTCAAAGACCCAGATCTTGGGTTTATTGATTTCCTTTGTTGTTTTCATTATATTTGCTTCATTTATCTCAACTATAGATTTTATCAGAACTGAGAGATAATTCCTATTATCTGAGTCTCAATCTGCAGTCCTTAGTTATAGCAGCCCCAACAGACACACAATGATACATTTATTTCCAAGAAGAGTTACCCAGGCAGGGTAATGAGATGACGGAATGTTGGAGTGTTGGCAAGGGCAGGGAGCAGCCGGTCTCACGAACCTAACAGCTGGGTGTGGACAGTGAGCATTCCAGGCCCCATGCCAGGGACCCAAAGTTTAGAGAGGTTAGAATGTCCCTGGGATACAGGTGGCCCAAGGTCACAGGGTGGTGAGCAGAGTAAGGTCTCAAACCTGCATTCACGCTGAGCTGTGATGGGAACTTTTAAGCATCCTCCTCCCATTCAAATGTGTTTGCGCGTTTCCATCTGAAATGAAAAAAAAACACAAAAGATGAGAAGTTTCATAGGAGCTGGAGGAGGATCTGTAAATCTCCATCCCCTATCCTCCTCACCCTTAGCAGAGATGGAGCTTCTACACATGCAGTCCCCTTGAGGGCCTGATGGGATCTTCCATGGAATGTTCTGGCATGATCAATTCAGGGCTATTATCTGCAAGTTCACCATCACAGAAACCAAGGTCTTAGGGAGTCTGAGTAAGATGCCCAAGTTCCTGTGGTGGTGAGCCCTCCAGAGGGGAAGTAGCCTGAGCGCCTTAGAGAGGGGGACCGGACAGCAAGGGGAAGGCCCCCGCACACCAGGGGCGACTCCCACTGAGCTGACCTAGAGGGACCAGGTTCGATCCCTGAGGACCTGGCACGAGAGGCCTCTCAGACTGACCAACAGCACTTCTTAAAGGACAGCAGAGTGGATGAAGTCATCCATCATGAACTTCAAACAAATCCTACCCAATGTGATTGCACGACCCTATTTACACAGTGATGCAGATGAGGGAAGAGAATACAGCCGTGCACCCACATCTGAAGAAGCCTTTGAACTACCCAAGAAGGTTCAGAGATTCATCTGACCTTAGGAAATGTCAAAGGAAGGTGTGCTGATAACGAAGGCCAGGATGTTAGTAAACGGACAGGAATTAATCTCCACTCATTAAAAGAAATCTGATGTGACCTTTAAATCAAGTCGAAGTCACATCATTGAGGAGCAGGGGTTCGGGCAAAGTTCCCTCCCACCCACGGCTCCTGCCCTCCTCTTTGCCAATGGAGCCTCCATCCCTCCTCCGGCTGAGGACACAGTGTGGGTGTCTGGAGGAAGTCACGCATCTGTGCAGACTGGGTCACCCTCCTCAGGGCCAAACCCAGCCATCTGCTCTGCACCCACCACGCACTCAACCAGCACTGTCCTACCAGCTCCTCCCCATGGTCTCAAGACCCGGGCTGGCCAGGCTGCCCAGGAACCTCCTGTGTGGTCTCCCAGCTCCAGCCTCAGCTTCCCCCCACAACTGCTGCCCGATCCGGGTGCTTCCCCTCACTCATGTGACCCTGCAGCCCTGCCCACACTCTGCAGGCACCGTGCATGGCATCATGTGTTGTGGGCATTCCCTCCACCACACTTTTTTCCCAAATTTACTTATTTGGCTGTGCCAGATCTTTAGTTGCAGCACTGGAACTCTTAGTGGGATCTAGTCCCCTGAGCGGGGATCACACCTTGGTCCCCTGCACTGGGAGCTCAGAGTCCTAACCACTGGACCACCAGGGGCATCCCTCTACCCCACTTTCTATAGTGATAGTTCCCTACATTCAGGGATTTGCCCTCATAATCCTACCTCCTATGGTGAGGGTTGCTAAACACACACTCATATGCACATATATATATTAACATATATATACACACATATACATACATGGGGCTTCCCAGGTGGGGCAGTGGTAAAGAATTTGCCTGCCAGTGCATCAGTGGTACAATTTGCTATTTGCCTAAAATATACCTTTCAGAGATATTCCAGTTTTATTAAAATTCACTTATGAGTTACTGTGAAACTATTATTGATGGCTGTCATAGACTGATTTTACGTAGACATTTTCCCATTTCAAAACAAATTAATTAAATGTAAAAGAAGTAACACTCTCCCCTTTTCTGAATTCAGTTCAGTTCAGTTCAGTCGCTCAGTTGTGTCCGACTCTTTGCGACCCCATGGACTGTAGCATGCCAGGCTTCCCTGTCCATCACCAACTCCTGAAGCTTGCTCAAACCCATGTCCATTGAGTTGGTGATGCCATCCAAGTGCCTCATCCTCTGTTGTCCCCTTCTCCTCCTGCTTTCAATCTTTCCCAGCATCAGGGTTTTTTCAAATGAGTCAGTTCTTCGCATCAAGTGGCCAAAGTATTGGAACTTCAGCTTCAGCATCAGTCCTTCCAATGAACAATCAGGACTGATTTCTTTTAGGACTGACTGGTTGGATCTCCTTGCAGTCCAAGGGCCTCTCTAGAGTCTTTTCCAACACCACAGTTCAAAAGCATCAATTCTTCAGTGCTCAGCTTTCTTCGTGGTCCAACTCTTACATCCATACATGAATACTGGAAAAACCATAGCCATGACTAGACAGACTTTTGTCGGCAAAGTGATGTTTCTGCTTTTCTAATGGTACAAATAATTCTTTTTCTACTGGTACAAATATAAAAGTAAAATACAACAGCA